AAAAGGGGCTTGGATACCTACAGTACCGGGACCAGGAGAAGGTATGTTTCCTTTCTGGCATAAAGCAAGAACCCTTGCCATAAAATCCGACCTCAGAGTATGCCGCCATTACAAAGATTATGTAGGTGAATACAGCGACAAACCGGGTTCTCCGTTATATACACAGGCACTGGAAGTCATGGTTCAAAACACCCCTTCACTCTCATATCAGACAGAATGGGTAGGTGAATTCTGGAGTGATGATTTGCTTGGCCTGACATTTAGCCCTCCATCCAGATGGATCGCAATAGCTGATCAGGTCGTGGTAAATGAAAAGGCTAACCTTGAAGATGCATTATTGGTAAACACAAAAGTGGGTATCGCACTGCATGATGCAGCAGTAGGTGCATGGACTTCCAAATATGTGTATAATCTTGAAAGACCGGAAACTTATATAAAAAGACTGATAGATCCTAACTGGGAACCTAACCTGGACAATCCGCTGACTGGCGACAGAGGTATCTCTCCTTCATTTCCTGCGTACCCATCAGGACACGCTACTTTTGGAGCCGCAGCTGCTGAAGCCATTGCCAGTGTTTTTGGTTATTCATATGGTATGACTGATAATTGCCACCGAAACAGATCTGAATTTTCAGGGTATCCGCGCACTTTCACGAGTTTTTATGAAATGGCACTTGAGAATGCATGGTCGAGAGTTCCACTAGGAGTGCATTACAGAATGGATGCAGAAGAAGGCATGAGATACGGAACTGAAATCGGAAGAGCTGTCAATAGATTGCCTTGGAAAAAATAACTTTTCATTGATGTGATACGAAGGCCATTCAAATGAGTGGCCTTTGTTTATTAGACATGTGTATCAATGTCACTTAGTTATACCGACGAGAATTTATTTTGCAAAAAATTCTGTCGCCATAATACTCAAAATGAATAAATTGATAAATTAAATTTTCGCAAACCAATTTATTTTGAGTATAAAGTATTTTTTCTTGTTTTTACCCATTCCTGCCTCGGCGTACCGTTGGGCAGGCAGGCTAAATCCTTCCCTTAGAAGGGAAAGACTTCATAATATGGTTTTATCTAAACGACATTGACATGTATGTTGGAAAATCAACAACCAAAATCTGACTTTGCCAATATCAGCCTATCTCCGGCAATAATATATCTGAAGGACATATTTGGTTCTTTGTCGACAATATGTAAGATATTTTTCCATGTAAGTCCATTGTCATCAGAGCGCATCAGGCTGTTATTAGTAGTATAGTACAATTTGTTTTTATGAATAAATACGGACTGAATTCCTTGTTTGTTTTTTAGAACACTTTCAGCCGGATGATTTACCCAGGTTTTTCCATTGTCATTGGAGTACACCAGCATATTTCCAGGTTCTGTTGACATAAAAGAGGGAGCAGAAGACATTCTTTTTAAGACATAAAGTGTATTTCCTTCTTTAAACATTTGTACAGAATTGTCATTATTGTTATGAAGTCCTATTTGGTTCTGAAGTGATTTTATGGGTGACCATGATTTCCCTTCATCATCAGACTGATGAATGCCGTTTATTCCAGTGACCATTAAAGCATTATTGTGTATCAGGATATTGTTTGCAAAACCGTATTGAAATTTTCTGTCCCAGCTTTTGCCCTTGTCGTCCGAGCGATACACTCCAAATTGAGTTGCCATAAAAAGATTTCCCTTGGAATCTTCCACAATTTTACTTATGCCATGTACACCTTCAGGGGTAGTGAGAGGTTGCCAGTAACCCGCATTGTTTTGTTTTCTTAATAAACCAATACCATAAACATGACTATATAAGCCTGAGGCACAAGAAAACATACCATAGACCCGGTTTTCATCTATTGGTTTTTGATTGATCAGGGCAGTCATTAGATTTTCTTGCTCTGCATTTGCAGAAGACAACATATTTATTTTATAGATTTCGGCTTTTTCTGTTCCAACAAACAGGTTGTTTTGATCGCTGCTTAGAGACAATATTTTTAAGTCTTTAGGAAGATAAACATCCAAAGAATTCCAGGTCTCTCCCTGATCATCTGATAGAATGACTTGATCTTTAAAACTGTACGGTTTGGTTGCTTTTGTAGTGATCTCTTCCTGACGATCACCGGATGCACAATTGAAAAAAAAGAATGTTGATAACAAAACACTGTAAAACATTTTCATATTATTTGATTTATGAATTGATAACAATGCAAAAATAACGCTGAAGCGACCTTCTTTGGCTTATAAATATGGTAACTTTTTAGTAAATAATGGTAAAGTAAACCATTTACACGGGATAATTCAAGTAATTTTGTGCCATGTCTACTAAAACTCAAATACATTTAGGTTTTTATCTTTTGTTTCTGCTATCCACTACAATGGTTGGAAATGCTGAAAAAAAAGAACTGGAAGTGGTGCTGCGCCAGATAGGCCACAGAGTGCTGGATTCTAGTGGTGATTCCACTTCTAGAGTTTTACCAATAGAATTAAAAAATGAAAATACATATGTAATTTCATTTGACAAACCCATTTATATAACTTCAGATTCATTGTACAATATTATGTGTTATGAATTGGGAAGAGTAGGTATCGGCGATTTCATAACCGAATTAAAAGGGTGTAATACTGAAAATGTGGTCCTATCATTTTTGTACAGTCAATCATTAGATAGTATTACCCCTTGTGGTGGAAGAAACATTCCGAAAGGGTGCTATACTATTGAGATTACAATGCTTAAAAAAGAAAATCATCTTTGGCTGGCATGGATATTAATTCCATTGATTTTGATACCACTGTTGTACATTTATTATCGGAAAACAAAAAAACGTTCTTCAGAGACAATCACCAAATTATTGCCATTAGGCACATACAGGTTTGATATACAGAACAGAGAACTTTTGCACATTGCCCATAAAGAATCACTGACGGAAAAAGAAGCTAAACTCTTGTCTATTTTATTGGCGGGCATCAATGAGATTCAAAACAGGGATTACCTCATGAATGAAATTTGGACTGATAGTGGGATTATGGTTGTGCCCAAAAACCTGGACGTGTTAGTATCTAAACTAAGAAAAAAACTGAGTCTGGATGAAAATATCAAAATCACCAATGTGCATGGAGTGGGCTACAAGTTGGAAGTAATGGAGTAAATTTCATTTTATGAACATGAACTTTTAAAAATAAAAATTCGTTTATTGTTAAAATAGTGTATAATGAGAGCAATAAATTTCACTGCTTTTACTGATGATCCTTCACAAGTAGAAGCTATTAAAACATTCATGGATTCATTAAAGATAAAATTTGGAATTTGAATTATCGAAGGTAGCGGAAATGCCTTATAATATGGATTTTGTAGAAAAAATTAAACAAGGAGATGAAGATTTAAGAAATGGAATGGGGCGAAAAGTAACTCTCGTAGAGTTAGATGATTTATGGAAATAAATTACTTACCAAAAGCTGATGAAGACTTACTTTATTGGATTAATACCGGAAACAAACCAGTTCTTAAAAAATTGCAATCCCAACAAGATGAATTATTGAAAATCCATACTTAGGTATTGGCAAACCAGAAGCACTTAAATATGACTTAGCTCCTAAATGGTCCAGAAGAATTACAAAAGAACACAGAATGATTTATCAAATAATGGATAAAAAAACTTTTCGTTTTTTCACTTCGAGGACATTATTTCTAAACTTTAAACTTTATTGAATTATCACAAGATCTCCCCATCCCGCATCTCAATAACCCTGTCACTATTTCTGGCGAATTCTTCATCATGTGTCACAGCTATGATCGTTTGGCCAAAGCTTCTTGTCAAGTCCTTAAAAGTGTCAAAAACTATGGCTGAGTTTTTGCTATCCAGATTGCCCGTAGGTTCATCACACATGATGATATGTGGATCATTGATGAGAGCCCGGGCTATCGCCACCCGCTGTTGCTGACCTCCCGAGAGTTTGCTTGCTGGTTTGAGTGCTTGATCGCGAAGTCCCAGGATTTCCAGTTTTTGGTAAGCGCGTTCTTCTATTTCTTTTGATGAATATTTCCCTAATTTCAGGGCGGGAATCATGATGTTTTTGAGACACGT